TTTATTTATTTATTTATTTTTTAAAGAGTGTATCTTTTAAGACGGGATCTTTCCTTGTAGTCCAGGCTGGCCTTGATCTCACTATGTACCCAGGCTGGTCTTGAACTCTTGATCCTCCTGGCTCAGCCTCCTGAATGCTGGGATTACAGGTGCATACCACCATGTCTCACTTTGAGAGAAATTTATTTTAAGGAATTGGTTCATGGGATCCCGGAGGCTAGAAAGTCTAATCTCTGCAAGGCAGGCCCCAAGTCCTCCTTGGAGGGATCTTGGTCGCTGAGCTGAAGGCCTTCCTAGGGTTAGATGAGGCCCATACATTACAGAGGATAATCTGCTTTACTGAAAGCCTACCGATTTAAATATTAATCACATCTGAAAAATACCTTCACAGCAACAGCCACACCGGATCAAACAACCTAGCCAAGTTCGCACATAGAATTAGCCACCACTGCTCCCTTGTAAGCCTCAGTTTTTCACCCAGGAAATGAGTCCCTCTCTTGCTAGCTGTCAGAGCAGCTACAAGGGCCCAGGGTTGGCCAAGCGGCTATTGGCCTTTTGAGGGAAGTGGCACTGTCTATGCTGCAGCAGCCTGGGAGGGGCACTGGGACAGGACTGTAGACTCTCTCAAGTGTGGCAAACTGACAGGGACCATTGCCACTTGGCAGTAGGCAGGGGGGCAAGGTGGGCATAGCCACGCCGAGGGAGAAAGAGTGGTCTCCTCCAGGTGTGGCCCAGGTGCTGTGCTGAGCCCTTTGTGGACTCTACCTTCTGCACCTTCCAAGTCCCCAGAACAAGGCACTGCCACAAAGCCCACTATCAGATGGGCAGACTGAGCTCTGGTCGGTGAAAGATATGTCCAGCGGTCCTGGCCTCTGGCTGGCAGGCCTTGCCCCTCAATCTTGAAAAGCACCAGCCTTCCAGACCAGTACAGCTTCGTATCAGTCAAGTGAAGGTCCTGCATCTGTTTAGCCCCTGTCATCCACCCCAGACTGGGAACTGAACCCAGGAAGCATCACCTACATCCCTAGCCCTATTTATTTATTTGCTATAGGGTCTCACTACATAGCTTGGACTCACAGTGATCCTCCTGTCTCAGCCTCCCCAGCACTGGGATTACAGGCATGCACCACCATGCCCAGTTTCAGTGGCCGGCACAGTGCACCCAGGGTTCTGGGTCCAGCACAGCATGTGATACCAGGGATCAAACCTAGGTCCTTGCTGGTGCCAGGCAGACACTTAGCCCTCTGAGCTATCTCCCCAGCCTAGACCTTTTCATTTCTATTTTTTCGTTTTGAGACAGGTCTCACTAAATTGCCAGGCTGGCCTCAAACTTGTGATCCTCCTTCCTCAGTCTCCCAAGTAGCTGGTTTACTGGTTACTTTAATTTTCTGTTCATCCAACAAAAACTATAAAATGTGGCCAGGGAGATGGCTCAGTGGAATAGGCACTTCCCTGGCAAGCACAAAGGCCTGAGTTCAATCCCTGGTTCCAGAAAAAAAAAATCTACAAAATGCTGACATACTATTCATTTGGGACAAAATGAGAAAAATCCTCTCTGTCTATCTCCCTGATGGGTTCCCAAGGTCCTCATACCTCTGGGTCTGGCTATGTTGTTCACTTACCCCAGATACCAGCAATACTTCTTTGTACTAATTTTGCATGTGCTGTTCCACCTGCCTGGAATGCCTTTCCTCTTTCTTCATTTTGCTCATTTATTCCTTGAACTCCACTTGGCAAAACCAAATGGAAAACTAGAATTCACCCTTCCTACCCCAGGACAGCCACCAATGGAAAAAGCTGCCAAAAGCACACGTTGGCAAGGAGGCAGAGCAACCCGAACTTTCATAGGTTGCCAGAGGGAGTGGAAATCAGTGCAGCCACTTAGGAAAAACACTCACGGGTGCTTGCAACAGCTGGATAAATGCATCCCAGGCACAGCCCAGCAATGCAAACAGAAATGGACGCGACGTTCACTAAAACTACACAAGGATGCCCAACAGCAGCACTGCTCCTGATAACCCCAAACTGAAGCCACCCCATCCTGCACCAGAAGAAGGGCTAAATAAACCATGATTGTACACAGAGTAGACAAGGTGCTGGGGCTCCAACATGGGGCTTACCACATGCCAAATGCAGGCAGAGGAAAGTTGTCACCCTGTGTGGTTCATTTATATGGAGTCAATCACAGAAAAAAGAAATCTCTTGCTATTGAAAATGAGTACAGAGGCAGGCCAGGTGGCAGTGTGAGACTGACCAGGAGGGGACCCCAGGTGGCTTTGGTGCTTGCTAGTCAGGTGTATGGGTATTATAGAAGCCTGCAACTAGAGAATCACAAAATTCCCAGATTTGGATTCATGAGTCTTGTGCATTTCTAGGCCGAAAGGAGGCACAGATGATCTGGCCCCACCTGCCAGCCACATGAGGACTCTGGCCCCAGCACAATATCCTGCATCCTGCATCCCACATCCTGCATCCTGGGAAAAGGTGGTCCAGCCCCAAGGTACCCTGCTCCCTGGGGCCTTCCCTGCACTCAGGGTGGCGTCACTCCCACCAGGCAGCTTGCAGCCCCCAAAGAAAAGGCTAGCAGTCTGGATGAGCAGGGGGTGGCATCACTACACAAACCACTTTTCCACCTTCACCATGGCACCAGCTGCTGTGCTCTGAAGACACCACACTCTGCCAGGCAGCCAGGCCATTATGGGGATAAATATAGATGCAGACAGTGAGGCGAGGAGGCTGCAGCAGGGGTCGGCCCTGATGCCCTCCTGGGGCCCTGCTTCTGCAGGCCACACTCAAGAGGGAAGCCACACTCTGTAACTCCACCTCACCAGAAAGCTCTGCTCTGCACGCGAGCACCTGGCCCAGGGCTCCCAGCCTTACACAGTCCAAAAGCTAGCCCTGAAGATACAGAGATAGTGCCCTTGTTCCCAAGGAGTCTAGAGGCTGGCTCGGTCCTGTTCCAGCCACCCTTCCCCCCTCCACTCTTCCTCTACTTTGCACCTACTCTCCTGCCTCCCTGGAGGCTCAGGATGGATGGGTGGGGCTGTGAGTACCCTGAGCACTTTGTGGACCTTGGGAGTGGGTCTGGCCAGGCTCAGAGGGAGGGCTAGGCTGCAAGAGGGCTGAGGGTTTGGTGACCATGTGGCCTAAGTCATTAAAAGGTAACTGCACTCAAAGAGAGGCCCTAAGGGACCTCAGAGATTAAAGAGCAGCCTAGGAGTCCCCTATAGTGCTGACACCCCCTCTAAGTAGGTGCCATGGGGTAACTAGGCACCAGAAGGCTCCCAATTCTGCATGTAAACCCAGACACATCCCTTTCTCTCTGAGACCTGTGAAGTAAGGTCCTCCCTGTGGCATCAGGGGACATACAAATGCCTCGAGAGTCTTCCTGGGTGGCTCTGAGCTTCCAGCCCCAAGTTCCACCCAGAATCGCTGGGCTGATGTACACTGACTTGCCCTAAACTGGCCTCCTCCTGCACCCCCTGTGTGGCTGAGGACCTGCTCATATCCTCTGCAGAGGGGCCTCATCACCTCTCCTTGCACTGCAGTGGCTGTTGGCTGCTGCCCACACCCTGCCACACTGAGGAGGCACCCCAACCCCTTCTTACTTTGACAGTGCTGGAAGGGCTGTGGCCTCAGCACCCAAGTGTGAGGCCACCACCTATGGAAGTCTTTATGGCCAAGGACCCTCCCATCTGCTTTTCAGCTCCTGATTATGGCTGCTAGGAAATCCACCCTAAGGATGTGGGAATCACAGCACTGCCTGGTTGGTTCTCTGTACCTGGTTCTGCTCAGAGGGGCTAGATCTCCCTGCAACTCCAGGAGATGGCTCTTGGCTATTTTCACCCCAATTTACAGATCAGGAGAACTGAGGTACAGGGGCTAAGTAACTCCCTTGTGTGCCCACCAAGGATATCCCTAGTACTTCAGAATGTGAACTTATTGGGACATAGGGTAGCTGCATGTATAATTAGTCAAATGAGATCATCTTGCGGCAGGTGGCCCTAAATCCCATGTGACTGACGTCCTCAGAGGAGGCAATGTGAAGACAGACAGGAAGGCGCAACGTGGAGAAGAGGCTGAGCTACCTTGCCACAAGTCCACGAGAGCTCAGGTCTAGCAGAGGCAGGAAGGAACCAGGAGGATCCTCTCTGGAACTGTAGAGGGAGCACGATCCTCCTGCCAGCCGGATTCCAAACTTATAGCTCCAGAACTGGGAGAAAATAGATTTCCGCCGTGTTAAGCCATCTAGTGTGTGGAACTCAGCCAGCCTGTGGCAAACTAGGGTTGAAAAGCTCCCAGCAACCCCTGTTCCCCGAACCTTCCCAGGCAGGTTCCTCAGAGACACAATTCTGAAAGATTATTGGGGCCTAATCACAGGGTAGGTTAGAGGACTTATCTGTGGAGAGCTGAGCATGCTCTCTTGTATCTTGGAGAGGTGAAAACCAGGCATACCAGGCAGGTCAGATGTCCTCAGCCCCTGGCAAGACAAAGGCCATCTAGGGAGCCGGCCACTCTGGAATGCACTAGGTACGACCCAGGTCAGGGGCTCTGCATGTGCTGTTGCTTCTGCTCCTTCCCCTTCACTCTAAAACCTTCTCTGAGCACTGCTGAGCATTAGATAGGGTAGATGTGACCCTAAGAGGCCAGTGCCCTGCCCCTGGGGCCTTCCACATGATGAACAGCTCAGTTCCAAGGTTGCCGCCTCCTTGAAAGGCATCCCTCACCTCCGCCACGTTGCCCCATCATCACAGTCGCGGTACCCCACTTTATTTTCTCTAGGACAATTTCCATTTGCAGAAGTTTTCTTGTCTTTTTGTTCTCTGCTCACCTCTCTTTGTCCCCCTCACCCAGTCCGAGCGCCACGCCTAGTGACCAAGTCTGCCTTGGCTGTAGCTGTACCCTCAGCATCTGATAGTCTCGACCCAGGGAAGCTGCTCAGGGGCTATTGCTTGAGTAATCCAATGGATGACTACAGGCAGTGGACAGTTTCTGCTTTAGGAGGCCCATTTCCTACATGAAGAAACTAAGGTTGTAAAAAGGCAGCTCAGGTCACATGGGAGATCAGTGACTCCCCAGAACACCTCTGTCCCCTGGGCAGGCAATGGCAGTAGATGATGTCCCACTTAGAACACTAGCCACCAACTCCCCCACTTCTCAGCACAAGGTGAATCCCTTCTTCTCTCAGCACACACCCTTCCCTATGCTCCCCTGCTGATGAGTCCAGAGCCACCCAGCACAGTGAGACAGGGAGCTCTCTAGGGACCCAGGAGTGCCGGCCGCAAGTCTCCCAGGCTTCGCCATGCAACATCACAGCCCTCACTTAGCAGAGTCCACAAGAGATGGGAGTCAGCGCTCGAACCTGTTCCCTGGCAGGCACTGTTCTCAGTGCAGTGCTCTGTTCCTGCCCTTTGGTGGAGCCAAGACCCTTTGGTGAGGTGGCAGATAATAACTGACACACAAATGAATAAATAGGATGATTTGGGAGCATGGCAATGCCCCAAGAAAAATAAAGCAAGCTGATTCAACAGTGTGACAGTGATAAATCCTCACTCATCAACATCCCAGAGGAAGAGGTATGGATGGGGCAAGCAGGAAAATGCTCCAGGAGAGGAGTTAGCCAACTTCCTCATCCTTGGCATGAGCCAGGTGCGACTGGGAAGACAGAGGACACGGGGCTGAAAGCCCGGAGGCACCTAGGATTCCAACTTGGTCCTTAGGCACTAGAAGACTCCAGATGATCCCAGAGAGTGTTGGCACCTGAGTAGACTGTCACTCTCCCCAAATGCTGCCTGCCAAAATGGCAGGGTGACCTGAACTCCAGGCTCCCAGAGCCTGCCACAGGTCCTTTCTGAGGTCATATCCTGCTAGGGGAGGGGAGCTACATTCCTGGAGTGTCTTGTTCCTGACTTAGCAACCCTGATGCTGTCTGTAAGGGACAGAGGAGAGGAAAGGGAGAGAGCTCTCCATCAGGCCAGGTAGCACCCTGGACCTGGACTGGGGGGCTTCTCAGGAGGGTACTTAGCTTGGCAACGATGCTCCCTCTTCTGACAGGAGTGAGGAAATTATTCCATAATGCTCTCTATCTGTTCTGTTTCCTTGGAACCCTGTGAGGTCATCCTGAGGAGATGGAAACCATCTTACACAGTGTTCCATACTTTGGCTGGGTAGAACCAGCCCTGGCCCTGGCCCTGGCACAGCTCAGAGGCCCCCTATGTTTGGATCCATCTCATGGGTCCTCTCTCTAGGGAGAGTGGAGGAAGGGGCAAGCTTGCCTAAGAAAATCCCAGAAGGGCTCTTCAAGGCAGTTGCCCACATCAGGCTTACTAATATTCCCATGAACAGTGATAATGACAGCGGTTACCAAGCGCATAGCATGTACCAGTCACAGTGCTGGCACACAAGCCCTTCGTCATCTAATTTGATCCTCACAACTGCCTTCACGAAACATACAATTATCCTGCAAGAGAATAAAGGCCTGGAGCACTCTCCTTGCAACTATACAGTACCTATAGGAAAACTGGGGCTCCACCTTGGCCCCCTTCTTCACATCTGCCCCTTAGTTTTTAATCTAATGGAATTCTAGAAGGTAAGAGAGGGTCCCTTGAAACAACACAAGAAACATCACACACCTTTCATGAAGAGCTACCCACACTGCAGAACACTGGCTCCCAGCACCTGGCCCAGTCTCCTTGCAGCTCTGTAAACTGGACTGTGTCACAGGTTGCCTCACTTTACAGATGGAAAAAAAAAACCCAAACCCAAAGAGGGTGACAAGGCATGCAGAGAAGAAAATGCAAAGGCAAGGGGAACCGATCACCTACTGTCCTGGTACTTTCCATGCAGAAATCTGTGTGGCCCCTCCCACTCCAGCAGGCAGCATCCCCAGCCTAGGACAGTCCCAGCCCTCTGAGCCTGGGGTCAGAAGGGCTGCACTAAAACCCTTCCTGTAGGTTTCTGCTGTACCTCCAGGCAGTCCCTGGGGAATGAGCCCATTTTATAGATGATGACCCCAAGGATCAGATAATTGAGACTTTGCTGGTCAGAGGAGGGTGTCTTTCATAGTAGGCAGGCTCCAGTTGCTAGATTAACACTGGGGTCACACTCCCTGTTTCCCAGTGTGTAAATAGGAGATGAAGGGCTCCCTACCCACTCATCTAGAACAGCAGTTTCCTCCACCGGGCCACTAGAGCCAAAGCCAGATGGTCCAGTGACTGTATGGACACAGGGCTTAGAGCCAGGAGGCACCTCCAACCACTCCCCAGGCCTCACACAGTGGAGTACCCTACATCATCCCAAAATAGAGGAAGGATGCAATCAGATGGTCACCCTCTCCAGCTGCTGCTTGCCAAGATGGCAGGGTGACCTGGGCCCCTGGCACCCCCCAGAGCCCAGGTCATGTCCTTTCTGAGGCCATATTGTCCAAGGAGTAGGGAACAGGATTCCTGAAGCGATTTGCTCCTGACTCAGCAGCCTCAGTACTGTCTATAATGGATAGGGAAGAGCAGGAGGGGGTCCTTCCCCAGGCAGGTGGCACCTGGCCTTGAACTAGGGGTTTCTCAGTAGGGAACCTTGCCTGGCAGTGATGCCACCAACCACAGAAGCTGTGACTGCCCCAAGGCCCACAATGAGCCTCACCATCCCTTGGTGACACCCTAGTGATCCAAACCTTGGGGCAGATAAAACAAAGGGGGAAGATTCTCTGCCTTTGTCCCTTCTCCCAAAGACTTATGGGCTTATCAGATAACAAAATGAAGGTTCCAGGTGCACCTATGACCTTGGGCAAATCCCTGCCTCCTTTTTAAGCAGCCCCTCACCCAAACGGAGAGCTTGCTGAAGCACAGCTCCTACAATGGGGAAGAGAGCAAGACTTCGTTATTTTCCACCGAGCAGAGAACTATCTCTGCAGGGCAGGAAAGAAGAAAGGACCTCTCCCTCCCCCACGCCTTTAAACACACAGGTGCCAGACAGCTTTTGCTCCCAAACTAGTTTGCAAACACATTCTGACTTCTGGGATGCTGCCCAACTCTACTCCCCCTCTCTGCTCCCTGCCTCCCCCTTCCGGGCTGGGAGGTGGCCCTCGGACAGCTCCCTGGGGTAGGGCCAGGGTGGGGCTGGGAGTTAGGCAGAAGGGAATGCTTGCCTGGAGCCACCCTGACTTTTCCCTTCAGTGGCTTCCGGACGTCCTCCAGGCCTCTCCGGGGAGGCCGAAGGATCCCCATAACAGCACCCCAGGGCGCCATCCTCGGCCAGACCTTCCTTACCCCGTAGTCAGAGCAAAGGTGGAGCGCCCCCGCGTGGCCGGGTCGTAGCTGAGTCACCTAAACGGCGAGTCTCAGCGCGCGAGGGCGGTGGGCTTGGGGGTGTCACAGCCCCCCAGGCGGACCCAGCGTCCTTCGGGCCCACCCGCTACGCTAG